TTGCTGAGCTTAACTTGAACTTGAAATTAAACTTTAACTTTAAATGCTCAGCTCTGTCAGGAAGTGCAAGGGGAGACCGCCCGGAAGACGGCGTGAAGTGAGGCGCCCGGCGTGAGACGTAGGATGTGAGGTGGACAAGCCAACCAAAATCGCGAAAAAAAAAATAATTTTAGCGCGCCGCAGGCCAAGGTAGACGCACATTTAGCTCAGCTTCACACGGTTTTAACGTGCGTCTACCTTGTATAATTGGTTTGTAACGTACAAAGGTTAAGGAACTCACAGTTACCGTCGCCTCATTTTATTGATTATTCTGTAACATTGCTCCATTATGTGACGATTTTGGAACGTCGCTTCTGTTGGGCGAGGTCGCTTGACAACTTATTGTAAACTTTGAGCATATTACAACGAGGAGCTCTTAAAACGACCTTGCTTCTTTCTTGTCCCGACAGATACGACTACGAGGCCCTGCTGAACAACGCCACGTTCTGCCTCGTGCCCCGCGGCCGGCGCCTCGGCTCCTTCCGCTTCCTGGAGGCGCTCCAGGCGGGCTGCGTGCCTGTGTTGTTGTCCAACGGCTGGGAGCTGCCCTTCAGCGATGTCGTCGACTGGAACCGCGCCGTGGTGTGGGCGGACGAGCGGCTGCTGCTTCAGGTCAGTCAGTGTGCAGTGGTCAAAGTGTTCGATTTCAAGAGTAAAACTCAAGTCTGACAGTTGAAGTTGTACTTTGCCAATCTAACTTTAAAACAACTTCGTTGTACCCGTGATGTGAAAAGTAGGGTTGACAGCAGGTTTATCCTGAACAACTAAAAGAGCAATACAGTTTATATTTTATAGCTGTGGTTATAACCACTACCTATTGTTTTTCAGTTAAAATAACTTCTCTGTTGTTACACTTCACAACTGGATTTGCAGAATACAACAAAATGGTTCAGCATTTTAAACTGTTAGAATGTTGACACTGCGCCACCGCATGACAAATCGTCAACTTTTAAACTTAGATTGTATTTCCTCCTTTTTAAGCGCTGCAATATAGCAAGCGCTTTTCCACATTTTCCACGATGTCAGCATCTAAATATATTCATGCCCAAGTCTTGGCAGTGGAAAATGGAAGAAGACCTGGCATGATTTTCGGTCGGACTAGAGGAGATGAGCAGACAGAGCCCGCCGCACAGTCTCCGCGGCCGCCTGCAGTCGGGAGCGTAGGCCGCCCGCTCGGCGGTGCTCCCCGGGGGTTGCCTACGCACGCACTGCAGGGGCCCCCGCCCGGGAGCCCGGGGGAGGTGGCTGCACTCGGCTCCCTGGACTTGGTTAGGACGTCGTGAATCAACTCAATAAGGTTAAGGCGGCTCAAATTCGACCAATAAACATTCCCCCCGTCTCGCCCCGACGCCCCCCGCCCCCTCCGCTCGCAGCGGCGGCTGGCATGGCGGCCGGGGCCCCCGGCTATCTCTGTCCGTTCTGCGCCGAGCTCCTTATATCGCAGTTGTGTAGTTTTCCCCGTGAAATACCCCGCCGGCCGCCGCGGGCCGCGGCCGCGCTTGTTTGCAAGTTTGCGCGATGAGTCGTAAATAAGAAAGGCGCTAAAACAAACGGGTTGCGTGGTGCTGCTGTGCCTCCCCCCCCCCCCCCCCGCCCGGCCGGCCGGCTCGGTGTGGGCGGAGGCCAATATAGGTAGCGCAGGAGGGATCGTTCGCAAACCGAGAAGTTTTGAAATTATGTGACGCGTGACGGTCGTGCAATTATTCGAAACCAAAATCACTTCACATATACACGCATTGCATCTCGCAAGTCACGGCTTTTACACTCCTCCTCTTTTCTTATTTCAGATTTAACGATGCTCAGCGCATTGACCCCAATCTGCCACTAAGCGCCATTAATTACATCGGGTACTTTTTCCCTCGAGTCGCCGCCGGCCGCGCTTGTCGTGCTTGTGCTCAGCGCAGCCCGGGCGCAGCCAGCCCACCTGCTATCTTGGCGAGCAGAGATGAAAGGATAATCAAAATCCGTGTAACCAGCTCCGTCCCGTCCCGTGTGCTCACAGCAGCCTCTCCCGTAAATCATTTTCTTACCTTTTTCATCATTGCAAAAAAGAAAGAAAGTGAAAATAAGAAAAGATGGAAGGCCGGGCTGCAGCAGTATGTCGAGGAGTGGTGGCAGCAAGGGGCAGCTTGATAGCCTTCTCTCTTCCTCCGCCTCCCCCACCTTTTCTCTCTGTTGTGCTCTTTTTATCCCCCCACCATTTTTCTCTCTCTCTCTCTTACTCTCGCCAACTCCCTCTCCCTGTCTCGTTATCTATTCCCCGTCCCTTTCCCTTTCTTCACTACCACCCTCTTCTTCTCACCGGAAAGAGACGCTACATCAGCAGCATCTTTCTCGACGGGAGAATGCGGTGCAGAGGGACAGGAGGGGGGGGGGGCAGAATGTGGCAATTTCCGTGAATGCCGTTATCCGGTCGCGCTACGTGCCAGTGCCGTGGCGCTATGCATGCCCTGCGGCGGCTTACTCCATCTCGCCCCGCCCCGCCCCGCCCC